TAATCATAGGTGATCGTAGCAGAGTCATAGTCATGCGCAGACAAGCCAACGCATATATCCCTATAGTAGATCCGATGTGTTGAAATCCACCATGACGCACTAACCGCCATGTGTTGAAAGACTGTCAACTGACGTGGTAATTCGGTTCGTATAAACCCTTATAACTCCTTCTAGTGTTGTCCTTGCCACACTCTTAGCCATGTGGCATCCGGTATATTAAGCGCGAATGAGCTGATAGGTGTTGAGATGTGAAGAAAATTCGCCATTGTCGTCTTCAGTTTTTCCTCTCGGTACGAAGAACCTTGTCTGAGGCGCCCATCCGAGCCCCCCAAATTCCCGAGGGGCTGAGGAAGTAATAATAACGAGACGGGATAAATCCACCGATTATCTTCTCACCTTCAGATTGTAAACCCTGTATGAATTGGTATAGGTCACTAACGATGACGTCCAAACACATTACGCCGTAGGCAGGCAACAACTACATTGGGGATGCACGGTGACAACATTTTAAACAAACTCGTAAATGAACCCTCACCGATCGCTAACGAAACTCACTCGTCGCGCTCTAGATTGGGCCTCATTGTCATGCCTCCCAGCAGCCACACAGCGGTTAGTAATGTATGCGATTAAACATTCGCGAGAAAAAAGAAAGGGAGACTGGAATCGTCACTTCGTTCTAATTATCCATCATTAGCCAGTCCTACGCGACGCGTAGGCCTGAGACCACGACGCGTTAATTGGAAGTCCAACGTTCTAACCATGGCGCCACGGACTCATTATCTTGTCGGTTTTGTTCAGGAATATTAAAAATAGGTTAACAAAATGGGGTTGCGATGGTAAAGAAGCTCCTAACACTCGTCGATAAACCTACACCGATCGCGAACGCAACTCACTCGTCCCGCTCTGCCTTGGGGCTTATTCGGGAGCTCCATCCCGAACAAACTCAATATTTCGAGCGTTAGACTTTTATTCGAAAGGTCGCGAGTTCGGGCCTCGGGTGGCGTACGACTGACTGACGAGGGTTGATGAGCCGGAAACGACCGTTTCAGTTAGCCTTTTCTTTGTCAGCAATCTTATCCGCCTAGACTACTAGCCGTTGTACGGCAGCTGGCGGGGCTCGAGAATGAGTTCAAAGGCAGAGCGGGACGAGCAAGTTTCGTTAGAGATTGGTGAAAGTTCATGGAAGAGTACCAACGAACGAGTTTACTGCGACCTTTTGCAATACTACCGAGGAAGCAGTAAGCGAGCCCTAAAAGCGAAAAAAAATATTCACAAACGGTACCCACCTTGTCCAACTCCTTCTTTGTCTGTTCCTCGAGCGCTCGGATGTCATTCATTGAAAATCCGTGCCAAGAGTCTATGCTGCAGAAGAGTTGGCGATGGAAGTTGAGGAAGATCCTTCGCTCAATCTACACATGGTAGATGCAATTAGATTGAAAGTACAGCCTTACATTCTGTATGAATCTCTCGGTGATGGTCTGCAGACCGAACCACTTAAATTCGCAGGTTACGAGTTTGTAGGCACACATTATGGGCATGTCTGTGTTCTAAAAGCAAGGCAAAGTTTAGTTTGAAGGAACAAGCTG